AAAATATAGTGCTGCACCCTGTTGGTAAATCTTATAACTTTTTAATGCTTTTCCATATCATAGAACCAACTTTTTTTGTTGAAACAGCTGACTAAATTCTTTAATTCCCTTTAAATATGAATACTCATAAGGTTAACATGGGGAATTACAGAGCCACTGGGGCGGAGCCCGAAAGGATTTTTGAGATAAGAATATGCATATATGTTAATCGGGAATGTAAGCTATCATCATGCAAAATTTCAGCCCAATCCGTCCAGTGGTTTATGCGATTGAACTTCAAACAAACACACAAACTTTCACATTTATAATATTAGTAAGATAAGATTCCTCTTTAACGTTTCTAGTTTAGGGGTTACAGAATTCAGACTTTACTCAGAAGGTCACTTTTAACAAAATATAACAAACCATGGCTCCTAAACAAGTAGTTTTAGAGGAAAATGTCCAGAATGAAAAAAGGTTTTTTAAAAATTTAATTTTCATTCTGGAATGGATCATAAAAATACAAGGTGTTCCAAAATAAATTTCAAAGTTAGCAGCCGTATTGGAAAATGGTGTCCATTTTGGAAAAAATTAAATTTTTAATTAATTAATATCATTAAAAAACAAGTTGAAGTTATCTGTTTAATGTTTTCTCTAAATCAAATATTTTCCGAGATACCAATTGTGGTCCAGTTCACCCTGTACAGTAAAGTAAATGCAATATTGTGTAACCTTGATTTTTGGGTGACTTGGATTTAAAAGCACGATACATGTACAATGAATACAAAGAATCATTGATAGCCTACTTGTAAGCCAATCAATGACTGATAAGAGGTACAACTTGCAAAATACCTTGCACAAATAATAAACCTTGCAAAATATGATCGAATTTGAACCTTCAAAAATCTGATGACTAGGGTTATGGAACAATTCAAGCGGAGTCATGAACAAGCTACTCAAAAATCCCTGCGCTGGTAATTAAAACAGCCTTTTTAGTAAACAACCTCGCCATTAAATCAGAAATAGCAGAAATACTTTTAATCAACAACTTGTTCATTTATTTGGTTGTTAGGTTTGCTTATACAATTTTGAATTTGCGTCTGTCCTTCACCGATTTGGACAATAGAGGTGTATTTTATAGCGTATTTCCCATATAGGGAATAAGGGTTTGTTGTAGGTTTCATGGTAAGACCTAGACCTGGGACCGACATACTTTTTTATGCCTCTAGAGATAAAATGTAACTGAGTCCCTAATTCCAAAATTTAGTCAAAATCTAAATAGCATTATTAAATATTTATTTCACTGTTAAACCATAAGGTTTGCTAACAATTACCTTAGTACTTAGGAGATTAAGTTTAGGTAGGGAAGAGCCAAGTAAATAATCAGTATTTGATCTAAACTATTTTCCCCAAAATTGAGTAATCTTTTTCAGTGTAATTTTTGCTCAATAGTAACAACTGATGTTTTCCCTTTGTACTGTATTAGTAATTTGCTAGTATACTGTGGATGGCTTGTCGCAAGTAGGGTCGTAACCAAGATGAATCGAGTAAAACTTTTACTCCATGCATCTTGGGTCGTAACAGCTGTTTAGTTTGGAAGCAGCTGAGCTAATGGTATTTTGTGTATTTACATTTACGAAAGCTTGGTTACTGAACTATGACAATACTGACTCCACTTTAAATGTATCGGTACCAATATAGATTTTCAATTCATATTGTTTTGGTTTTCAATTCTGTATGTTTTATTTTCAATATTTTCATAAATTTATGTTCATAAATATTAATTTTAATCAATAAAGTCCGAATTAATGAGCTGATGTCAACGGTCTGCCATGTTATCTTATGGGACGTCTGACACTAAACAACCCTATTATAGTCCTCGCCACCTTAAGTTGAGGCAGCCCAAGGCCGCACGGCGTATATCTAGTGCGGCCTTTGGCTGCCTCAACTTAGGGTGGCGAGGACTATAGCGACGTTGCCAATTCTACCAGACCACGGTCTGGAGTTAAAGGTGGCCGTGCTTAAAACACGTTTTATTCGCTAAGCAATTGTGGTATTAATTGTTTTAGATTGCACCACTCGTGCTGAAGTTGTCAGCTGTTATTTTTCGTGAATATTGTCTAACAACCTCAATCGCTATTCGCTGTTGACCAACAACAGTCGAGTTTTTGTGTGGTTTTACTTTATCAGTTTGCAATGCAAGCATAGTGATTACGAGTTGCAAATTTGTAAATGTTTAGTTTGAATATTATTTATTGTGCCTTACCTGAAATGTGAAAAGAAACTCGAGACACTATTTTTAGCTGATTTTGTAAACTTTATTTTTTACTGTTTACCAACAACGAATGTCGTGGGTGTACTGCGGTTTTACTTTGGTTTAGTTTATATGCATTTACGAAAATATTACTACAAAATCGCCAAAATTCCTTGCCACTACAGAGTTCGCCCATTGCTAGTTTTAGGGTTAATAATTAATTCACAGTATGTTAAATAAATATAATTGTAAGCAAAAAGGTACTTTTGTATGTGTTGCAAAGAATAATAAGATACTTCATTAACTTGTTATGAAATATTTCTATGCAGTTTTGTAAATGCTAAATTTACAGCTGATCATGTTTGCAAAATAATTTATTAACCATTTTTAACATTGCTTCATCACGCAACCAAACAAATTGACTGAACTTCAACAAATTGAACTTCAATATGTGTTTAATAACAGAAGTGGCCTCAATAAAAGAGCTACTACTTCTTTTAGTAGCTTCAAGTGTCATCTATAATACCTTTCAGAAAATGGATTTGTTAACACAAAATTTAAGAAGTCTCAAAGAGAAATTTGACAGTGAAAAAGTCTCTCAGAATGACACAATGAGAGTCTTGAAGAAAACTGTAGAACGACTAAAAGACGAACTACGGGAGTCGGAAGCAGCGACGAAGAGAGCTCTGAAGGAATTAAGACTCCAGCAAATGGATAAAACAGGTTTGGTGGATTACGCTTATGGAGGAAGAGTAACTCCAACTCAAGGTACAGAAAGTTACCTTTCAGAAGGTGTTAATTTCTTTGGTGTCTCTGTTTGCGGCCAGAACTACTTGGAAGGGCGAATAGTAGAAACGTCCGTTATGCCTGGCGATTGCTGGCCAATCAAAGGTCAACAAGGATCCGCCATTATTGAGCTTATCGAAGATGTAAACGTGAGTCAAATCAGTTTAGAGCACGCACCAAAAGAACTGCTTCCGAACGGTGCTTCGTCAGCACCGAAGGAGTTTTCTCTACTTGGGCTGTCGGATAATGAAAATGAAAACCAAACTCCTCATTTATTCGGAAGATTCGCTTACAATCTAGCCTCATCTGAGGTGCAGACTTTCCCAGTTCAGATACCTAGTTCAAAGTCTTTCAAGAAAGTCGAAGTTCAAATTCACTCTAATCATGGTCATTCGGAGTTCACCTGCGTTTATAGAGTTAGAATTCATGGGAACACACGGAAATGAAATGCCACTCTGATGAAAAAATACAGAACAGTTTATTCAGTTGGAACTGCAATATCATCGTGTTGAGCTAAACCATTTGGGGTTTGACGTGTGATCCAGAATTTTACCTTTAAAAAAACTATTAACTATTTGCGTATATATTTCAAAATTAATAAGCTTACCTAAGCTTGTGTGAACTTCCTAATAAAACTTAGTATAACGTAAAATATGAGACTTTCCTTTGATCAAAATAATATGTTCAGTAAGACACATTACGTTTTGGTTCACTTCAAAAAATGGGTAGCCATTATTATAATAAAGAAATAATAACCCATGTGGTACCACAACAATAACTAAACGTTAGCCTCTTTTGGTGTGTCTTCGTCTCACAGAAAGAATAATATTGAACTCTTAAAGAACAAGCTTCAGCCATAAAACTGACAGACATGTTTTGCGTTCCAGGCTGTTTTTTGTTGTTCACGCAAAATGTGTAAAAACAACATTATTCGACACTCTTGAAATACCTAATATCTGGAAACTACTATTGTTTTAATATTATAGTCCGTGAGGTATGCGAAGGAGTCCAAAAGGGATTACAGCCCTCACACACACAGAGACACACACACACATGGGTCACGTGCCGTAGGTTAGGGGGGTTAGGTATAGGGCCCTGCTTGCTAGTGCGCGTGCGTTGGTATACTCCGCGCGCGATAACTTTTCACTTGGGACTTGCACAACTTGGCAACGCTGCAAGGCTCGCTACCCCATCCTATACCTGTCACATCTGACAAGAAGCGGGTGCTCGCCTCGGCGATGCGACGTTGCCGATACAAAATTCACACGGACCACCAAAAATCCCAAGTGAAAAGTTATCGCGCGCGGACTATAGTCCTTCGCCAACCTCACGGACTATTTAATTTATTCAAAATGTTGCTTTATTTGTAAAAGTTAAAATATCATCATAGGCAGACTTTTTTCATCGATCTTTATTATTTATTAGTATTATCCTTATATATAATACGTGAAGGCGATTCCTACGAAAAACTACTCCTCCGTCAATAATGGACGGATTTTTACAAACGAAGAGTCAAAATTAAGCATTTTTTGGGGAGACGCCCCTTTTACCAATTCCTCTAATAAAAGTCCTCGGACTTTACCCCACAGGAAATGAAAATCCCAAAGTATTTCTCACGAAGAAAAGATTTTGTTTACTTAAAAAGACGAATAATAAATTGCATACTAAAACAGCTGTTCATAGTAAACACATAATACGCACAAGAGCTTCGTTTTCAAGAATGACAACTTAGGCTTTTAAAATGTGAAAACGCCCTTGCCTATTCCAATATCAATAACAACTTTACACGTTTCTATTTTTTTTTCTACAAAACCCAAACCATATTTACAATACGTTTACGTAATGTAGAAGACACAATGTCAAAATATCTTCTGCTGAGTTTGATAAAGAGTGTAGGTACTTAAAATGAGCTCCTATTAACACAATTTATGTTCCGTAAAAGCCATTATGTTGAAGATAATGAGTTGGTATAAAAGTTAGGATAGATAGATTATACATGATTCTTTGTCAGTTCATTTATCTGCAATGTTTGCAGTTTTGAGTTGTGTTGTTTCAGTTTTGTTTTTGGCGAGCAACTCCGTGGCCAAACTTCCACCTAGTAATAGATTTTTCTGAATTGTTTTTTTTTTAATTTGATATATTATTTTGCTTTAAATTATGTGTTATGGTTATTTCTGAGGAATTAAAAGTTAAGCTAGATACTCATCAGCTATGAATTTTTCACAAAATGTATATAATTACGTAGTATACAGTATTTGTCTTCTTAATTTAATTTAGAGCTGACACTAAATATTTTTAAGTTTTTTTTTATAGCGGAGTGAATATATTATTAAGTCAATTTAATATACATAGGCCTACTCTGCTTGTTATTTAGGGGCATTAAATTATCGTCTCTTTCTTAAAGATTTTGGAACATTCTTAATCTCTTTTTACAATTTTATTATGGTCTAGTAATTTAAAGTTACATAAATTAGTAACACATCAGGTTCTCGCGTAAAATACAAATTAAAAAGATTATATTCCATCTGGCTTAAATTAGTTTTGTCCAGTAATTTGCTTGAATATTATACAGGGTGTCCACAAAAGAACTGAATCATTTTAAAAGCAAATACTGACACCAAATAAGGAACTATGTTTAATGTTTTATATATGTAATTGAAGCTAAAATTCTCAATTTTTATTAGAAACTTAGTATAACTTGATATGAGCACCATTAGTGGCCCTGCATAAATTTAAGCGAAATTTGACCCCTTCCTAGGGTTTGGTGAGTACTTCAGGGGATGTTGCACCAACATGCACTATTCTCTATCTGAGGTGATTCAGATCCCGAATCCGCACCGAGTAGGCATAATTCTTTACTGCCTCCCAAAGGTAAAAGTCCAGAAAAGTCATATCTGGAATACTAGGAGGCCATTGGATGGGCCCTTCCTACCAACCCACCGATCGTAGAAACGAGTATCGAGTATCTATAGCTTCTCGCACACGCAAACTGTAGTGTGCTGGCGTTGCATCCTGTTGAAAATAGACTGGGTCATTCTCCATCTCAACGTCATCCAACTGTAGGAAAACGTACTCCTCTGACATGTCACAATAAATGTCACATTTTATATCCCCTGAAAGACCTACTGTACTGACCAAAGCTTGGAAAGATGTTAAATTTAGCTTAGATTTATGCCGGGCCACCAATGGTGCTCATATCGAGTTATACTAAGTTTATGAAAAAATTGAGAATTTTAGCTTTTAATACATATACAGTGTGTAAATTAAGTATGGAAACAAATCTGTATTTTTAAAACCGAAATAGATAGAAATATTCTATTTGTGGCAATAATAGTTAACAAAGATTCCGCAATTTTTCACATGAAAAATATTTTTTTACCCCCCTAACAGGGTAGGTGGTAGGGGGTGACTTATTTTTTTCAAATAGCAACCCCTATTGAGTTACCCCTCATTTTGAAGGGTTTGTCAAAAGAAACACAATGACGCAAATCCGAGGTGAATATCTCACTCCTAGCCCAAATGGCGAATATTCCAAAATTTGATTTATTGTACGTGAAAATCACCAATTTCACAAATAATGGAAGGAAATCTGTATTTTTAAAACCGAAATAGATAGAAATATTCTGTTTGTGGAATTGATTGTTGAAATAGGTTCCGCAATTTTTTTAATTAACAATATTTTTTCAACCCCTTTAACAGGGTAGGGGGTGGGAGTGACTTATTTTTTTCAACAACAACCCCTATTGAGTGACCCCTCATTTTGAAGGGTTTGTTAAAAGAAAAAGAATGACGCAAACCCGAGGTAGATATTTCACCCCTAGCCTAAATGGTGGGTAATGAAAAATTTAATTTTTGTAAAAAAAAACCCATTTTGGAATATTCGCCATTTGGGCTAGGAGTGAGATATTCACCTCGGATTTGCGTCATTGTGTTTCTTTTGACAAACCCTTCAAAATGAGGGGTAACTCAATAGGGGTTGCTATTTGAAAAAAATAAGTCACCCCCTACCACCTACCCTGTTAGGGGGGTAAAAAAATATTTTTCATGTGAAAAATTGCGGAATCTTTGTTAACTATTATTGCCACAAATAGAATATTTCTATCTATTTCGGTTTTAAAAATACAGATTTGTTTCCATACTTAATTTACACACTGTATAAAACACTAAACATGGTCTTTTATTTGCTATCAGTATTTGCCTTTTTAAAATGTTTCAGATCTTTTGTGGACACTCTGTATTGTAGTCCTGGCCTTTTCCTAACAATTCTTTAATTGTTGTTTTGCAGTAAAATGTGATTACAACGCTGAATTTGACAACTGCTTCATTAAGTATCTTCGAAGGAACATTCCACATCTGGCAAAACGTAAGTTTGTTACAAGTTACAACTTTTTTTACTCTAATACAATTGTTGTAACTCTCAACGTCTCCTCTACAAGGCCGCGGCGTTGGTGTGGCAACGTCGCACCGGCCGACCTATGCCATGGTAATAACACCATTTAAAGATAAACATTGCGCAGACGCTCCATTATTAATTAATTAGTAGAACAGCTGTTTCGGCAGGCCGGGACTGATGCAGTGTTGCCTCTTTTGTCACCGGCCTTTTAGGGCTATGCTCAAACACATTGGTGGTTGGGCGTAGGTCAATATATTAACCATGCGATAATATATATATATATATATATATATATATATCTTTCATCTTTGTTCTGTACCTTAAAATAAACGCGCAAACACAAAAATTTATTTATTTTTGTTGATTTACTATATTTTAGTTCTTCAATAAACTCGTATGCAAAAAAGTGGCCTCGTATGCAAAACAGTGTATACATACCCTGTTTGTACTCATGGTCTCCTTTTCGTTACAAAAATAATTAAATAAATAAAACAAGGACCAGTCTCAGAGGTGAAACATTTTTGTCGTGCCTAAAAAACAGCTTTAGATTATTAGCCAATCAATATTTTAGAGAAATTGTAAGATGTGGTTAAATCGTCGTATTCAATGATCAAAATGAAGAAGTTTTTTTTGTTCAAAATTCAAATAACAAATAAATGTGGTAAGCGACCTCACGTAAATCACTTTTTTACCCAGTTAATAAATAACTTTTTTCACACTGAGGGTAAAGGAATAATTTTTTTTCTCATTATTCTACTTTACATGCCGTAAAACTTTGAAAGTACCAGTTAGGGGCATTTAGTCACACTTCAGTGGTAGAAGTTTTGTATTCCACTTGTAAAGGGTGTTTTTAACGCAACCAAAATTTCAAATATCGAGAAATACTGTTTAAAGGCAAAATTAGTACATTATTTGGTATCTATGTTTTCTTTACTTAATTGTCGAACAGCTGATATGCATTTTGCATTGTTGTTTACAAAGCATTTGTAATAATTCAAATAAGAAGAACCCTATTCTATTCCCGAAAGTCAAGAAAGTTCAAAAACTACATTCACGAAGATTATTGTGGTGGAAAATTTCACCATTTTTTGGGGTTTCGTGCTCGAAATCAGTGCGCCCGGCTTCACTCACCTTTATTTTTGTCAGTGATGTTCAGGACTTGTCAAAGCACACACACACACAACACGAAATCGTCCATATGGCATCAAAAGTCCAACGTTTCGTGGAACTTAAAAAACTTCCCACTTCCTCAGGGTTGAAAAATACTATTTTGTTATCCCGCACGAGGGTCGAACGCCTTATCACGACTGACAAAAAAAAAGGATGTACAGTTATGTCCTGGACATGCTGGCAAAAATAAAAGTGAGTGTAGCCCACAATAATGTTAGGTAGTGAATAAATATAGCACCTCACCTAAAAACACGTCTTTCAGAAACAAAACTATTACACTATAGGTACATGACAGAACGATTATATTTCTTACCTATCATAAATTGGTACTGTAATATAGTATTTTAAGTGTATCTCCTTGCTCAAACAAAATAAATATTTCCTATTGTGTATTTATTTTAAGAGGGTATTCCTGAGGCGAAGATCCCTCCACTCGATCCGTTTGAGGCACCAAGTATGAGACTGAAGTTTAATTCTGCAATGGCCAAGGGCAAAATAGACGTTAAACATGTCGTCCTCAAAGGATTGGCTAATACGAAAATTTCAAAATTCCAGTAAGTACTTTATATTTGTTATTTTATTTGAGAGGATAGTTGGTTTTCCTTGCTTTTGGGTACAAGCATTGTCTTAGTGCAGAGTTATAGGCTATACGTTTTGATGTAACGAAGCCATAGATTGTCTACTTAAGAAATGCATTTGTAAAATATGTAGGCTTATATGGTATTGTTGATAGTCAAGATTCCACATATCCGATCTTTTTCATAATCACAGGAGTATATTTCTCATATAGGACCAACGTCGGGAAGGAAAGTCAAGATAAGAAACAAATAGTTCTAGCGGTCCACACATTCCATCCTTCTCTAACTCTAGAAGGAAATTTCGAGAAATCAAGCTTGAAGGCTATGGGATACACTTTAGCAGACGCCGGGAGCTACAAAGTTACTCTGAGTAAGAACACCATATAGCCATAGAGTTCTAACAAAGATTACATTACCTCATTTAAGGTGTAATCTTAAGTATCTTTACAGTACCTGTTAAAGGTAATTTAAACAGAATCGTTGCTGTTTTGGCTGTAAGAAAGTGCATAATTGAGATTGATACAAAATTTCTTGTTCTAAGATCGTCAACGCAAAATGAACAGAACAAGTGTAGAAAGAACCCAATGCCAATGGAAACAAAATTAGAGAGTTGATGTGCAAAGAGGTAAATGATGTGTAATATAATCAAACGATGTGAGAATAAAAATAAGATAGTATAATACATGTGTTATAGGCTACATTAATTAACTTATTTTGAAATGGCACTTATATTTAATTCACTCTAATACTTTATTCTGAAATGGCGACCATACGAATGTAAGCTATTTTATGCCAAGTATGAATGGAGATGAGTGTAGGATGAGTGGCGCGATCTTGTAGTCTTGTTACTGACTAAGGCCGACATGTTCCTTAGACACAGTAATAGAATATTAAGGCTGCTAATAAGTAATAGAATATTAACAAAAAAGGAACCTTTAGGCAACTGTGCAGCTTAAACTGATCAACTTTCGTAATTTTACATAAATTGCTGTTGTAGGCCTATTTATCATCGTACCTTTGGCCGAGTACTCTGCTCATTTAACAATTTGTAAATTTAGTGTATTTAATTGCATGGCACTAAAAGAATATAATTTCAACATAAAACTTATGAACAAACCATTTTAGTACATTATTGAAATATGAAGAGTATGTTTTCAGGAAACGTGAAAGTAAAATTATTTGCCCGAGGAAAACTAGTAAAAAAAGGCGCCACTTATCAACCTGTTCTGGACATTCTGACAGTTGAACAGCCAGAAGTTGGGCATTTCCAGTTAGAGGCTAGCGATGTAATAAAGAACGATCCAAAGCTTAGTAAGTATATTCAATGGAGTATGTGCAATCTATGGTATATCATAGATTAAACATACTGCACTCCCTTATAGAGTGATCAGCCTCCTGTAGAATAAGCTAAACTGAAACTGAAGACATTTTTTGTTAAAGTTAGTTCCGTACAGTTTATGTAGATGGAATTATGCTGTCTACATTTTGTTTCTTGACATTTAACATCCTATTTATTAAAACAATTCAGACATTATGACCTAAGGCAGAATGTTGTAAAATAGTGTTTGTGCCAATTGGGATCTATATAAGGAATTTATTGTTGGTCACTGTAGCTATAGACTTCCTATCGTCCAAAGAAGAATATAGTAGTTTGATTTCACTTGAGTGTGAATATGCTGGACACACTGAGTTATTTTGTTTAAACCAACTGTTTCCCGAATTAACTTTAAGAGTTCATGTAGTAGATTTTAATCATGTTGTAGAATATGTAAAAGTGTCTTACTCCTTTTATCTATTTTAAAGGTCCTACAATTCGAAACCTTAGATTTACAGGAAGGAGGACACTTTGATATTCTTTAGATGCTTCTATGAACATTAAAGAGTATCATTCCCATGCCCTCGAGGATAATTATGATCCCACCCATGCTCCTCAGGACTTTGTTGTACCAGTTTGTAGAAATAAAAAGAGGGGTATACTCTGGCTAAACACAAAATATAGATAGATATAAAAATCTCAAATGATAAGTTTAATGTCGGCTATCGGTCTGCAATCACTAATCGTGTAGTCACTAATTTAACTTTTAAATTAAAAATTCAAAATGTTTGTATTTATTAGGAGTTTTATTATTTTAAATTGAACCGCAAAATGCCACGTGGGAACAGCTAGTATTTTGTTATGTTAACCCAGCAAAAGGATATAAATATAAGTGATTAGTCACTTTTTCTCTGGTATTATAACAAGTAAAACTTAAAGCGTAAAATCTACTCTAAATGGAAAGAGAAACATTTAATATTCCTGGATAAGCTTCCACGGTCACCCAGTCTAGAACCGTGGTCTTCTGGTACCGACCGTGTTAAAATCAATGAACAACTACCCCCACTCTCTGACGTATTGACTGAAGTTGATTTGTCATCTGTGCGGAGTCATGTCGCCATTAGGATGGTGCCGATATCAAGGCCGAAACGTCGGAGAGTGGGGGTAGTGATTCGTTGATTTTGACACGGTCGTTACCAGAAGACCGCGATTCGAGAAACATGTAGGCAACGTCAGTGCACTCTAAACGTTACCAACATTGAACACACGTAACCCTCTGGCATAAAACATATACTCCCTTGTGTTGGTTAGTCTATGCCTCTGGTTAAAGTCAGTGGTGTTAAAGAACCATTTTGTTATTTGAATTACAAATATTAAAGTCATCTCATTGGGATGTAATACTAAACACCCCTCTCAAAAGCTTTATGGTAAAATTTAATTACGGATTTAATTCAACTGGTTAAATTCCAAAAAGATATAATCTAAAAGATTGTATTTTGTGGTACAGGTAAAAGCGTGATTACAATGATCAACTCTTTCTGGGAGATATTTTACAATGAAGTTTTCCCCGCCTTCAAATCCACAATTGAAAAGCTTGGCAAGAAGTTCATCAGCAGCTATTTAAAGCAAGAAGTATTAGTGCCGATCGGTTATGTAGAGGGGAAATAATAAAGCTTATTTATATTATAATTGTGTGTGTGTTTCAATCTTTCAAACCCCAACTTGAAACATAATTAATTATTTATGCCTATGAGACACCTCTCGTCTCTAGTGCGATCCAATTAAAAATTATTAAAACTATTCCTGCTCTTTTTTGGATAGGGAAGTTAGTTAAAATATCTCTAAAATAAGACCTACGGAAGGTAATGCTTATTCCTTACATAGGAAATTCGCTAAAGTTATGGTATCCAAAGTCAAAGCCAATACTGTAGGCCTACCATCAAAATTCTCCGCAACGTTTCGAACCCCTATGTTCTGACAATAATACTTGTGGGGACAATATTACGAGTTTATGAATATTTCATCAATCATATCAACAGCGTTCTTATCAATTATCATATCGCTATATCGTATACTGTAAACTGTACCAAGTTTTTAAATGAACCATATATGATTCTTATAAGGTATATTTTATAAATAATAGTTTAAAATAACGTACTGTATTCTTATACAATGCAGGTCTATACAAATAACTGCCAGAACTTTATGAAAAGAATAGGCAACAAACAATTGATTTACGATAGTTAATTTAGCGGAATTGGTAAACAACAAAGGGCCGTTATCGTTATGCTAATTATCTAACCATAACTTTGATTATGTTATCATTCAATTAATCTCTTTTACTTTAGATACTGGTACTGGTAGGCTACTATTAAGACGTCCATCATAGATAAAACATACTCCTCGTTTTATCTATGCTACTATCTTACGTCCTTAAATTGGTCAATTTAAACAATTATAGGAATAACTATTGTTAATTAATAATGCAAACATTGTTATATTTGATTCAAATGTCGCATCATTAACTTATGACACATCAAGTTACCTGTTTACTTTAAAAGTCAAACTTATTTTAAAACGAAAACTTGATGTTCAACAATATTATGATTCTTTACGTCTATTAAAAAAAAACAAGTGTAGGAAAGCTATCGTATCATGTGCACAACGATATTTAATTTCAGAAACACTACAAAAACATTTGATCCGTTATTTAAGATCTCACTATTATTTTAACAATTCATAAACATATTAGTGCAGTACGGTAATCTACTGTTTAGCTTTCGTCTAAACTCACACAATTTCAGTTATAACCGGTTCGCCGTCAAGTTTTTTAAGGTTAGGTAGTCTTTTGATGGCCTCTGCGCGGAACGTCCCCTCGTCGCCAGTGTCACAGAGTGGGTTGCCAACAAACAGCAAGTCTATCAAAGCTGGACACTCTTGCAGCTTATTAAACTCTGCCCAATCTTTGACCAGATTGTTCGACATATACAGCACCTTCAACTTCCTCAACACACCGACACCTTTCATCTTCTCTATCAAGTTGTACGATATCCACAACTCTTCCAAGGTCTCCCCAACAGGTTCCAGTCCGGAAAACGCTTTTATATAATTCCTTCCTAGAGATAGCACTTTTAAATTCCTCAAGCCTCCGAGGCCAGCAATTTTTTCAATCATGTTTGTTGACAAAGACAGCTTTTCGCACTTCACCAACTGGCCGAGTGAATTGTCCATCTTTTCTATCGGTAACCACTGGAACTGAAGGGCAACTTCTTTAGAGTCAGCCGCGTTTACTTTGAATTTATCCTCGAATTTTTTTATAGCATCTTTAATAGTAGTTGGTTTGGCCATTGCATAGATAGATTATGACAAAACTTAGAAGAAGCCGTAAGAAGTGAGGGTGGTTATGTAGAGTCACATCTGATTTGTTTTCGTTTCCTTGGTGACGAGTAAACAAATTGACACAATCCATGTTCAATGCCTATACAATCGTTTAATGCTATTGTACATATAGCATATATATTTTTTATTAGCATAAGTTATTGTATATATATATATCTTAGACTAAATGGGAAAATACTATTTTTGTATTTATTTTTATGACAATTATGGGATGATGGCTCAACTGTGATAAGCGAGATTATAAGGTGCACTCAAATATGAATGGATAAAATGAGTTTGGAATGAAAATCCCCAATGAATAAAGTGGTTTGTAATAATTGAAATCACTCTCTGTCAGAACAATGTATTTTTTTTAATGGTCAAAGAGAGCTGGATCCAGCTTTCAATAATCAAAAACTAGGGAGTAAACTTATGTTTATAAACACACTCGCCGTGGTGGAAGGAAAATATATTTTCACCACACTATCATGTTTTTGGCTGTATTACATACGTTAATTGGTGGCCGAAAGTTACGTTTTGCTGGCGATGCCAGCTGTCCATAATTTGGGGACCGAGCAGGTTTTTACAGGCCGGGGCCGCAAAATCAGCTGTCCGCTTACTTACTTAAAACATGAATGCATTTTAAATACATAATCAAAATCCATAGCATTTCAATAGAATTGTGTTATTGTCACCGTTGCCTAGCAACTATATATTTTTATTTTTGCTGATTCCTCAAATTATTTCTTCACATAACCTTAAAGTTGTAGTTGTGTTGACTATCAGTGTGCATTATTATTGTGGTGAATAGTGGTAATAGGGTATAGTGTGGTGAAAAATAGCGTTCGTACCACGGACCGAAATGGTTTTGCGGCTCTCGATCGATTTAAGTTCTCGACTTCGTCTCGAACTTAAAAACTATCTCGAGCCGGCAAAACCTCATTTTCGGCCCTAGGTACGAAATATACTATTTTCCACCTTCGTGCTAATTCTGAAAACAGATACTTTAGAATGAAGGAATTTGTATATGCGGTGTATGTTTTGTTCGCGGTATCGTTTTATTAGATAAAATGATATTATTTTACTACTACAGTAAAAAATTTCGGGTATTTTTTACTGTTACATTTACATACAACGTTTTTCTAGTGGGGTCTTGATACAACACGCCATTTGTCATCACTGGCACAATCTAAACTGTTAAACACTCAAACAATTTTGCTATTTGGTCGACAGCACCGGAGCATCGCTACTCTGCGTAACCGGACATGAAATTCACATTTTAAAAAGACGTAATATTCTTTTTCCTTGGCTAAGTAGACTAAAACATAGAAAAAAAATACATTTTAAAATTTAGATTCTTTGATAATCTTTAATCATTGAGTTTCATTAAACATTTAAATGATTGATTTTAAATATTGCACGTTAGACCTATGCTTCAGATCTTGCATATTCCGTCCCATACACCAGAAAATGACCAGCTGCACGAAATCCTCGAATTTTTTTTCTGCTCGTATCTAAGCCAGTGGTATTTTTGTAATGAAGTAAAGAAGTTAAACACTTTTAAGGAAAAGCGGTCCAAACCCATTAAAGTTTTGTGGATGTGTCGGGGATTGAACCCGTCCCTCCCGCACCGAAGTCCGAGACGTTAACCATTAGGCTAGCAAAACACCCATTTGAGAAGTGTGATTTCATTTCAGCCTGTGCAAGTAACCGACAACACCAACCCATTACAATGGAGTTAAAGGTGGTTAAAGGCGGCCGTGATTACAATCCTATCCCAAATATATATTATTTTATAATCCATGCTCCGAGCTTCCCAAACTTATTCTCTTGTTTCAATTCCACCATTGAGTATAAACATAACTCATACATAATTGAGTTATGTTTATACTCAATGATTCCACTAATTTCAGTGTCCCAGCTCCCAGCATGGCAGCATGGGCGTTCAGTCGGCCTCAGCCATTCTCAGTCAGTCAAGTCAGTCAGTCTGTCTCAGTCAGTGTTTTGTTTCTGTGTCGACTGAGTGAGTGAGTGAGTGTCCCCGAGTCCCCGAGTTCGAGGTTCGGGTTCGAGTTGTTGTGTTGTGTTGTAACCTATTTTATTTTAATAACAGCCTAATTGATTTTTGTTAAAATACAACACGTGACCGACTTATCGTGTGAACTAAGATAACTTATAAATTTATTTTCAAACTGTCATCTAAGCGGCTAGGTTTCACCTTCTTAAGCGATATTTGTTTATTCGTATATTAAATCATTCCGGCATCTCGTCTGTGTGCCTGTGCTAACAAACAAGTGTGTGTGTACAGTGATTGAGGTTAAATACTATCAGTACTTGGCATTTCAAGTTAACTTATTTACACTTTACAATAACCTAGCGTAGGTTAATCTGCTGTAATCTTTTCACGCGCAAAGCTTTGCGATACGCCGATGGAGCCTTTAAATGTAAAAATTCCCAAAGGAGGTCCTAACAGTCCTTATCAACCTGGAGCTAATACACCAGAATGCAGCCCTAGGCTTAGCGTACCAAGTCCTATAATCACTAGAAGAACAAGGACTGACTCAATGTAAGTTAATATGACTGTACCTAACTTAAATAGCTTTAACTTACATAATTTTTAATTACTAGTTCTAGGCCCCAAACTTTTAACTCTAGTATAATTTACTTTACGTGGCCTGTAGTGACTGATAGCGTTAGTAAGGGTATTTACTCGTACGGTAGGTGTACTTACGGTGGGTCAGTACTGACCCACGGCGATCGAATCTCTCATGCTGCCGGGTCAGTACTAACCCACACTACAGTGAATCAATATGTTGCTCAGTGCTAGCCTAGCGTCAGTTGAAGGTGGACCTACACCACATTAGCGTGTAGTGTGTGACTTGCTTTGTTCACCGTTGAGTTGGTTCCCGCGTCTCGCTCCCGCCGTGGCGGCTGGGTCGGTACTAACCCACATTACTGTGAACGCCCCTCGCTTTGCTACTTTTTTGTGCTTTATGAAGTCATATTCAATTTCAATTAATGTTTAAATTATTTTATTTCAATAATATTAACATTTCAAATCTTTTATATCTCTCATTTTTGTTTAATATTTAAATCTTTTATACTCCGGTTCTTGATGGGTCAGCACTGACCCATGTAGGCTATATGACGTCACAATATGAAGTCATAATCAATTCCAATCAATTGATATACTATTTTATGTTGGTTATTTTATCATAATGACTACATATATCTTTAGAACATATATTTTTTGTGACATATATAATGTATTCAGTGACATTTCCATTTTTTTCTGA